AGTTTTCCACCTTACACAACCTGAACAGCGAAAAATTCCAATTTCACTGAGTTGTTTCGGGAAAAAAACTATTCTGAGAGGTCTTCAATGGTGGCCTTGTAGACCCTGTCTTGAAGGCTTTCTTTTACAAAACGCTGTGATCTGTAAACCATGACCAAAAATATGTATTCAATTCCTTTATTTCTGATAAATTTTTTACCGGAGTTGAAAAACTTCATAGTAAATGATCGATCGACTCCGTGATTTATGCCAAAAATCGATATCGCCCCCATCAAATGTTGCCAAACTTGCACAACACTATTGGTGGGTGGTCGTTGTTGGGCAGAACCCTTATATGTCCCATGACAGAGCGCCTGTCAAGCGCTTTGATCTCCTCAACATATCCGGTACATTTTTTGGAGACATTTAAAGCTTTTGGAACACTTTTTCTCTGATGTAAGGGTGGCTTTCGGCAACAATTTTCAAGTTGGCTACTAAGTAATTGCCCAGATTTTAATATAATGTAATTACTTTTTTACGAAAAAAGCATTTATTCAGTTCTTCATTGGTCATGAAATACTCAGGTACCTTATCTATAAACATCATTCTCTTTAAAGACCCTTGAATGTTTGAAGTACATGGAAAAATATGCAGTTACTTTGACGCTATTGTTACCAACCCAAATAAGCACGTAAAATTTAGTGGAACGACCTTAACAACAACGAATATCCTGTACTCTGCATAATCGGAGTGTCGTCCTGAATAATTCGATTAATTAAATTAACATGAAATTATCAACTACAATAGCTGTTGCTTTGTTTGGTAAGTTATAATACGGGCTTACTGCGCCAAACAATTTTTACTTTGCCTTCCTTAGTCATTCTACTGCTGCCACTTTGTATTGTGTTATTTTTTCTTTAATTTTATTTGTAAAACCAGTTAAATGACTTCCATTTAAAATATTTCGACTGTGAATTTGGTTGGCTGGATCATTTTTGCAGATTGAATTTCGATATTGTGATTTTTATAATGGCGTTTCTCTCTCATAATGGCGACCACTTCAGATGGATTACACGGTCTCAGGGACCGATTCCCTGGAAAGTATTGCTGCCGCTCATGATTGTACAGTTGGTGAATTGATGAAACTAAATCGGATGAGTTCTCGAATGGTTAGTTTCCCTTCCATGTTCTATGTTTTTAATTTCTTTATGCTTTTGGATCAATTTAATGATCGATTATAGCCCACGATCACTTTGTTGGTAAAACTACTTGACTTCAAACCCTTTACGATTCGTCATAAACAGGTTCTTTGAAGGCAACAAGCTCACTATAGTGGGTGGAGGGCTGAACGAGCCAAATGTCTCAAGCACCAAAAACTATATGACATGATCAGCCTCACTCTATCCTCATGCCGAATTTGAATTTTAGCAAAAACGACGTCTGTTGTATTGTAATTGTTGGATAAATCCAACTCGGTTACCGTTACTTTCCTTTAGCTTCAAGTATTTCCTCATCTTGTCATCTTGTTGATGTCGTTGAAGAGACGACTAATTTCTTTAGTAATCCTCTTCAACAATTTTTACTTGTGTCATTCATACCACCCTTAATAGAATTTCTATGGCAACAGAGACGAATTTACTTCGTTTCTTGATTGTTGAATTGTTTCAAGCGGTTGATCTCGGCCCTTCAAAGGGGAGCAATTGAAACAGTGTTAGTGTTCGTATTGCCCTGGTAGTATTACGGGTGTTCGAATCCGCCATACACTTCATCTTGTATGTAATTGTTCATGCGGTGCCTTATACCATATGTTCACAGAAAGTCCTTTGCAATGTCTATAGTAGAGATTTCGATGCTACTCAAACAGGAAAGAGCTCCGTTTGTGTCCAAGCTCCTGTTGTAGTAATATCGAGCTCTGGTACGAACGAGATCCTCTCTTTTCCGTATTCTTCTGTAGTAGAACTTCTTTGGAAAGTAGCAGGACAAACGAAACAAAAACATACCCCACACCCATCTCTCCCTCATCCTTTGTGTTACTGGGCATCAGAGGGCAGTTTTGTTCAATTACTTGAGTACATTTAAGCACGATAAGTTTAGAACGTGATAGATTTTCTCCTCATTGAGCTATGTAATGCAAAAGGCTGTATTGGACCGAATTCAGAGCAAACATTCCAATGGTAATCAATAAGTGAAAGAGCGCAGTCCAATTGTTGTTGGAGCGCCTCAAGCGTGTTTGAGCTTCAAGTGAACCATTGAGTGTCGCGATGTTCATAAACAGCGCAGCATAAATTGAAGTATTGCGTTCTCGCCGGGCATGCCTTTGTGAGGCTTTGACCTCGTGAGATAATATACGCTCCGCGGTCTCAATTCTGCTGTATCCCAAGTTTTCGTACTTCCCGACTTTGTTCAGGTATGAGTCCGTCTTGGTTTCAGTACTGGTTAACTAAGCGTTTCCTTGGAACTGGTCATTACGAAGTTACGCATAAAAGTTATCAGATCTGCTTGTCACGAATATGACATCTAAGTGTTTGCATCAGTTTTTCTTTACCCAAGCCTCAATCTTGCACTAAGTGGTACTGGAACTCCGAAAGTTCCTTGCCACGGTGGTAGTGAATGAGTGCACTCCTCTTTCGGGCCTGCTGCAGCTTTAGAAAGTGGATATATTCATGATCAGAACCGCTAGTTAATCCCAGATGTGAGGATTTGACAAATTCAGCGGAAGCAATTTGTGGCGTCAATTTGACACCAACTCAGGGGAGCGAATTCTTTTTTGTTTGACGAGATCTTTATTTCCTCCGATGATGAATAAGCAGCGGAGCTGATGTTTCTTTTTGTCGCCCAACCAATCGTAGTAATGGAGAATGGGGTCCTTTGCAAGCCCCTCAGAAAGTCTCCCATCTTGGGTGGGATGTTAATGAAGGTATCAGCTTCTTCTCGACGAATTTCGAAGAAAACCACGCGCCGTCGTGTTTTTTCATTGAAAGCATAGCACATGGGTCTCGATCGTACGTCACCTCCCGTTGTGATGACATCACCGAATTCTCACGCATCTCAGCGGCTCACCCATCTCGACATCTCTTTTATTTGTCCGCGCTACAGCTAGAGCCTCGAAATTGAGCTACTCAAACTGCTTGCATTATCCGCAATGTACAATTTGCTATTTTTGCCAAACGGAAAGTTGATTTCATACTGATGCAATTACCGTAACAAGTGCAGTGTTCATAACGTATTACCCTAAAATTCCATAGATAAGAGCGGGTGAACCTACCGGTGAAAAATGAATTGGAAAAAAATCGAAATTGAATGCAGTCACCCCTCTAACTTGATGGATGGATAAATTAAACTTCGAAGAAGAAGTTAAGAAGAAACTCCGCCCCTCAAGTTAGA